AGGGAGGAATACGTGGAGTAGCTATCGGTTGGCCACGTGAAAAGTCCAATTTTCAAGGTCAACAGATTTTATTCCTTATTCTATCACACTATTCATACGGTTGACATTCCAATGCAAGGATGCATACATATGACCGATCTCCTTAAAATCGGTCTTAGCACTCGGGTAGCGTAACACACTACAATAGATGATAAGGAATAATAGTTGGTTACAAAAATGATTATACTACTATCGTAATGTGACGGGTCATCTGGCGTTAGTGTAAGCTAAACTCATTCTGTTGCTGTGTTTAGCATTAGTTAAGCACTGATATATATATATATATATATATAGACACACACACACACTTGCACGTTGTGCATATTTATAATGAATAAATGGTGGAACTTCATAGTGATTAAAATAAAGACTTACATGTATATATTATAATGAATGAATAGTTGAACTTCATAGTTATTAAAATAAAGACTTAACGTGGAAAATGCGTGTAAACGTGGAAGGAAAGCAATGGCAGAGTATTAAAAAACGGCAGTCCACACACAAATACATAAATACAATGGTCAATATTGTTGTTGTTGCTGTCTTATGCCTATTATCTACTTCTCTTATTTCTCCTTCTAAAGGTGGGCTTGACTTTGACTAGTTGCAAGAATTTCAATATCCCAATTTTGATATTTAAAAATTTGTTTTTTAATTCTTATTTATTTCAAGCTGGACATGATGATTCAAATAAATTATAGTAAAAGATAAACACAGTCGAATTAACAGCAAAAACACGATATATTTCATAATATATTACATGAGTCTCATCCTACGGGATTCGAACAAATAATTTACGTCAGTAGATATTTTGTGCTAATTATTAGTAGGACAAAAAATATATATTTATATTCGATATTGTCTAATTCAACCTACTAATGCAATTTGACATGGCATGGCACATATTTTTTTCAAGTCATAATAAATTTAATATATTTATTTGGGTTACCAAACATCATATTCGATAAAAAAATAAAAAAATAAATAAAATAAAATAAAATTCGTTCTTTATCTTTTCGTGTCATGTTTATTTTTCATTTACCTCTTTGTCGTATAGTTTGTTTTTTTGAGATAGTATCTATTTTCTAAATATAAAACTTGTCAAAATATATTTCATGATTTCGACATATCTCTTTATTTTATTCACTTCAATAAAAACCTCCATTACTTTTCTTGCGAGTCCAATTGCTATAAATAAATGTCCCAAAGCCATTAGTTTATCACTTTTCCTACATCTTCCTTCTTACCTTCCTACAAGTTGTGAGTCTGGTTCTTGAATACATATTTTTATTCATTTTTGTGCTGAAAAACATTGCACATATAAACACGGGAAAACTTGACCAGATTAAAAGCATTTTCTGAAGAACATCTTTTTGAAACTTCATATGGAATTCAACAGCCTGCTAAATACTTCATTGGATCTCAATGCCACACCTTTAAGATTTCAAGATGAGGTGAGTAATTGTTTGATTTTTTTCTCCATGTTTGGAATTGAATCTATGAGCTTTAGAGTGTTATGTATCATCAAATTCTTCGATTCATTATACAATAAGAAAAGATTACAAATTCATGGCTCCTAGAGATCATCTCAAGATGATTTTGGAAGGTCCAAGGTTGACTTAAACCGGTAGAAACAATTTGAAAAAATAATACCATTTTTTCGAGCTTATACATGCTTCTAAGCAACACTCGGAAGTCTTTGAGCCCGAGGAATTTTATCCGAAATCCTTAGTAACGAGGGTTTTAAACGGTTCGATATTCTTCTTGAACCATCGAGTCTTTCACCTATCGTCATTCCTTATTTACACTTTTATTACTGTAAAATCATTTGATCTACATACATTGCAGCCAATACAACATATTTTCTTGATCCGTATTGAATATTTTCTTTTCATGATTTTAATCAGAGAAGTGCTTTGGTAGATGAACTGAACCGAGTTAGTGCTGAAAACAAGAGGCTCACAGAAATGTTAGCAGTAGTGAGTGAAAATTACAAAGATCTGCATAACAAATTAATGGAGAATAAAATCAAGAATCCAGTAATGGATAATACTGCAGCATCAAGAAAAAGGAAAACTGAAATCAATGGCTCAGCTTCTGAGAGCAGCTCTAGCGATGAAGAATCATGCAAGAAACTAAGGGAAGAACACATCAAAGCAAAGATTTCTCGGGTTTTCATACGGACACAAGCGTCCGATACAAGCCTTGTAAGTCCACACTCATTATGTTGAATCACCTCCTCTAAAATCTTGGGCTATTAAAGAGAAAATAAACTTTTGAATCGTGTTCTCTTGATGAATATTGTATATTAAAAAATTGCAGATAGTTAAGGACGGATATCAATGGAAGAAATATGGACAGAAGGTGACTAGGGACAATCCTTGTCCAAGAGCTTATTTCAAGTGCTCTTTTGCTCCTACTTGTCCAATCAAAAAGAAGGTAAGCCACAATAAAACCTCAGTTAACTATCAGTTGTTTGCATTATAGAAGGATGTCAATTAACTGCGACGAAATAATTTCACAGAATTCAACTGATTGTGTAGATATAGGAATTCGTGTTATGGAATGATTTTATGCGATCGGTTCTATGTACTGGACTCTAATTAGAAACTATGTATCATATGGCATTTGTATCATGAACATTTTTTTGGCGAAAAATGTATAGGTGCTGATTGGAGATTGATGTTCATTTTGGAAAAAATGGAGTTTTATTCTTTGATTTTTATTAGGAAAAGAAAAACCTTACAATCATTTCTTAAGTTCAAAATACCCATAGAGAACATCTCATCTCTCTTCAAGACATCTTGAGGCCAAAACTTGAAGACACATTTGAATATTTATTTTCATTAAGGACATGTTTGGTACCTTATACTAACATACAATATAATTGACATGTTTTTAGCTATAATATTGTCTCATATATTCTAGCCGAGTCGAATATTGCGTACCAAATATGCATCAAAATATGTGCAAGTAGACTGGGAGCTTGGCTCTAAGAAAATTTTAACTTCTTTAGCATTCTAAACTGTTGAGACTCGAACCCGGATTGTGCTCCCATATTTTTCAGATTTTAAAACGCATTTTCAAAACACGCTTTTATAATTGGCAACTCACTGGTTGATGACACCTGGCGTATTTTCTACCGTTGGATGAGCATTTGTAGGCCAAAACTTGAAGACACATTTGAATATTTATTTTCATTAAGGACATGTTTGGTACCTTATACTAACATACAATATAATTGACATGTTTTTAGCTATAATATTGTCTCATACATTCTAGCCGAGTCGAATATTGCGTACCAAATATGCATCAAAATATGTGCAAGTAGACTGGTAGCTTGGCTCTAAGAAAATTTTAACTTCTTTAGCATTCTAAACTGTTGAGACTCGAACCCGGATTGTGCTCCCATATTTTTCAGATTTTAAAACGCATTTTCAAAACACGCTTTTATAATTGGCAACTCACTGGTTGATGACACTTGGCGTATTTTCTACCGTTGGATGAGCATTTGGCTCTGATGATATAAAAGGCAACTTGGACGATCCGTTTGGCAGAGAGACTTTTCATTCTTGTAGCTTTTCCTACGAAGGTGTTCGAGAGAGTTCCATTTTTCTCTCTGTAGCTAGGGTTTCTAATTTCCCTCATTTTGTTGAACATCGCATTCGAAAACTATGATTTTGATGTTTTAGCCATAGAATACTAGTATTTTCTGAAATGAAAATTTTATAAGAACGAGAGGGTTCTCATGTGTTGAGATCTGAGAAAGTGGTTTGTTGATTCTTGAGTGATTTGAGGCATATCTGTTGATTTCTTGAAGAGATAAATCCCTTCCTTTGTGTATTCTTGTATTGACTGAACATTATAACATTTATTGCTAATTTTTAAGGCATTTAATTCAACCGAGAAATATTCAGTCTTGATTGGATGCTCAATGGGAGATTAGATGTTTGGAAGAACGCTGAACTTCTGGAGCTTCGACCAAAAAAATTTTGTTGTGTTCATTTTATTTTTTTGCAAGTTTAATTTCTATTTTATTATTGATCAACTGTATCTTGCAATTAATTGTGTGGGTTTGGTCCCTTTTCATAAACCTCCTTTCATTATTTTTTGCAGGTTCAAAGAAGTTCAGAGGATCAATCCATTCTAGTTGCAACTTATGAAGGGGAGCACAATCATTCACAAGTGTCCAAGCTTGAGATGACTTCGAGCTCGAACCATTATGTGACACTTAGCTCGGTCCCTTGCTCGACCAGACCGTCCATTACCCTTGATCTAACCCGACAAAAGACCAGCAGCAAAGTTAATAGACCAGAATTCCAGCAGTTTTTGGTAGAACAAATGGCTTCTGCGTTGACTAAAGATCCCAACTTCAAATCAGCACTTGCAGCTGCCATTTCTGGAAAATTTCTTCAATAGACTGAAATGTAGATGGTCAAATGAAGAGTGCCTTTTTTGTCATTTGACTATTTGAAAGCATGAACTGAACCAATTGATGCAAATTCATGCTGACAAAAAGAACCAAAGAGTTGTAAACAAGTTTGTATTAGTCTTCTTTAACTAGAAATAACCCAATTTGGAGCAAGCTCTGACCTTGGGTTTATTAAGCTCGATCTGGTCCATCTAAGCTCACAAATCATGGAATGGACAATGCTAGACAGATAACGACTCTAAGGCCCTTTTTCATTTAGATAAAAACCATTTTATTGGGTAGATTTTCGTAATATTTGATAGAATGTGTGGTTAAAAAGTTGTGGATCCTATAAAATATGTTATTTTAATTAATTGTTACTTCGACGTAAATTTTAATCTAATTTTTCAGTTGAATTCAACATGTTCTTCAACAAACGCACAAATTATCCTAGAAAGTATAGATGTAGAGAAAAATAAAAGAAATAGATATTGATTCCACATTGAACAGTCTGAAGAATATTTTTTGCAGTAATTGCAGACCTCAAATATCATTTTCCTCAGGCAAATTCTCTTTATATAATGTACACAGAAAATAAATACAATATTCATAACAATTTGTACATAAAATTCATGCCAGCCATCACGCGATGGCGATCCAAGTGTAGGAAACTATCCTTCCACATCATACCATTGCGAGTACAAACCGTCTGACAAATACTAAGTCGATAAACTCAAGTCATCGATAGCTCTAGCTAACTCGTATTCAGCAATGTCTTCGGGTTGTTTCCCTTCAATCTTCACCTTTAGGCCATCGTCCCTCTCCCTTACACCACCTTCAGCTATACATTCCTGATATCTATAACAATTAATGAGATGGTCATTTGTGATTCCAGCTGCTTGCATAAACGAGTAAACGACTGTAGGCCCGACTCCGCGAAATCCTCTTTTCACCAAATCTTTGCTTATGGTATCAGCTTTCGATGTCTTGATTGGAACCTGTCGCGGGTAGCGAAAATTACCTGTTACGGGCTTGAAGTTCACAAAACCCCAAATGTATTTTTCGAAAGACCCAAGCTCATTTATTATCTGCATCAGGAGAAAGCACAGAAATATGAGACTATCCTGTTTGAGCCCCATTCTTTTGGAAAAAATACATTTTGAAACAGTGTTTTAACATCATTTCAACCACACATTTTTCAATAAAATAATATTACATGCAAATCCAAAATTTTTCCTTATTTTTTAACCACACATTTCCCATTAATACACTATTCAAAAATGCATTCTTATAAAAAGAATGAGGCTCAAACAAGGGCATGTGACTGATTAACTGCATCAGGCGCTCAGCTTAAAATTTTCACACTGCCATCTTTTACTAATAAACACAATTCTGCCGCACATTAAATGCCCACTTAAACACACCAATGCATAACCGATTATTTGAACATACATTTCTCTCTCTCTCCCTTTTTTTTTACCCTTTGAAGTGGAAGATACATATAAATGGTCAACTAATTAGACAATTCATTTTATAAGCTGTATAATTTCCAATATATTTGGAACATGATAAATACTCGTCTCATCTTATCACGTATACATGCTGATTAAAAATATAGCAGAAAAGTAAATTAATATTTGAGTACTCGATCATACTTCAAACGCGAAAAAATCAAAGCCATAGGGATTCATAATATATAGAAACTAATATTATCATCACCATATTTTCCACTCTAACTAATATCTTCAATCCTTTTGCTGCTTCTTTAAGGATGAAAAGGCAACACTCACCATCCCCTTAAATATTAATAAATCATAGACGTGAAAAGAAAAACTGTAATTTTGCAATTTGTAAAATTTAAAAAAACAAAAAATTCAGGTTATACCCTAGAAATTTGACGTGCATTTTCAATAATTGATCGAAGCTTTAGTTCTGACAGAAGACTGCTTGCAGGACTTCCTGGTGATGCTATCTTCTTCTCATTCAATTTTGAAACTACAACTGGATCGAAGTCCGCAAAGGCTTCTCTGCATTCGTTTATGTACACATTGAACCAGTAACATGAAAGCTCATGAAAAATAATAATCACTAAATTGCTGAATCCATTATTGTCAAAATCATCACAGAAACAACTAAAAATACCTAAATATATGCCTTTTATTAAGAATGGCAGGCCAAGTTAGTTCAGCCAAAGCAGTAGAAAAGCACAGCAATTCAAAAAGTTTCCTGTACATTGTCAAAAACAGAGAAATGAGCAACACGAAAGCTATCAAACAAAGTTGCTTTAATAGTGGAGGCTGCAAATAAGAAAGCGGACACAGCGCAAGAAGTACATACTTATCATCGTGGACTGGAACTCCCCACTCCTCATCATGAAAAGCAGCATAAGTTTGATCTTTTGAAAAAGGAAATTATCAGCACAACGAAATCAACAGAAAATGTAATTGAACTTTTAGCAAAATTACACTCCAGCAAGAGACTCAACATCATTGCAGTGAAAACACACCTCAGCCAACGTCTGCCAAATTATTTACAACAGGCAGCATCTACTTTGTAATATTAATGAAGCCTCAAGTATGAGAATGACACTATGGCCCCGTTTGGTACACATTAATGTAAAAATGAGAATGAAAAATATAGTTGTTACAGGCCCCACACAAGAAATAAAAAGTCAAATATGGTGGCTTGATGTGATGAATAACGATCATATTTTTCATTTTAATGGGCAAATAATGAGAAACAAACGGAGGCTATATATCAAGGGAGAGGAGGCAAGGGGATTGAGAAAAAAAGAAAGAATTTTGCAATGAAATGGTGAAGCATTACCTAAAGCTGCTCCCTAGCAAACCCCCATCTAACCCCAAAAATATTAAAGAGGAGAAGGTTTCCCCTTGGCATAAAGAAATAATTCCTGTTAAGAAAATTCAGAGGAAAAGACAATGCACCATAAATAAGTTATTCTCAAAGCGTTTGAAAATGTGCTATTGGTGTAGAGGGGAATTGACTATAGAAGTCCAAGTTACCATGGGATACAAGCCAAGGCTCCTGGAACAACAGCCATTTTGCACAGGAAGCAACCACAGAAAGTATCGCCGGACAGAATAGGGAGTAACAAAATTTATGTTTGTTGCTGCCTTGCTTTCTGATAAAAACAGTGAGGATACTACTAAGCATCACTTGCTTCATTGTGACACTGTACACAAAGGACCGATAGAACAATTTGAACCTAGAATTATAGCCCGTTATGTAACTTTTTGCCTTCTTATCAATGTAACATGGGTGGGGTGGGGTGCGGGGGGGGGGGGTTCCAAACACAGCACAATGAATTTGTTTATTATCTTCTACTCTTTTGAGAGGACAAGATATGCTGAAGCCACCAGGGATATTTTAGCATTGCGTGTTTCGAGTTGTCGACAAATAAATTCATTCAGCTTTCCAATTGTTATGAAGCCAATCCTATGAGACTCTAGTGTTACATCACAATCCTTGAGCATATAGTTATGACAAAGAGACAAAAGGGAGGAGAAAGTGAACAATAAAAGATTTGTCGACATTATCATTGACAAGGAAGAGGTAAAAATAAATATCAGATTGACTTAAGTTAGATAGAGTACGGTCCTCTGCTGCAAAGACTAAAAAGAAAACCATGATGAGGATAATCATTCCTATCAAATTGAGCTTGACAGAACAGAGATAGAATGAGACTATATTGAACATGGCTATTTTAAACATTGAATGGCCATTGATGCAGGAAACCAACGCCCATAGGGGAAATTAGATGTTGAACAAACGAGGTTTCTAAAGTATAGGTCATACTTGACTGACATTACAAGGGAATCTGTTAGGGCAAACGAATTTCAATTGATGCCCCAAGTCTTTTGCAGTTGATTGGATGGGCCCACTACCCCTAAAAATTTCAAATCCATTCCAAACATTAATGGATTTTGGATCTAATTGTGAAAAATTTCAAATCCATCTAAAATTATTGTCTTTTCAAATTATTCTAACTAAAACGGATGCACGTACACTTCTACTAGGACGGCGTGTCCGTGTTCGACACGTAGGATCACTCCATGAGTTGGGTCCGATAAGACAAATGCCATCCTATTTTATATAATCTTTAAATTTCTAACGCTCAGGGATACTTTAGGGATCCTATATTAAAAAGTATAAAAAATAAAGGTACAATATATTAATTTTAAATTTTAAGGAATTTAAGTCCACATATTTGTGTCATACATTTTCGAAAAATCATGTGTCGGCATGTTGTGTCATGTTGTGTCCACGTCACGTATCTGCAGCAATGCAAACTAATGCATGAATCTAATGATACCTATCCCTACATTTTCATCGATCATTATTGGATCTCTCTCACACACACATGCGTGTGCATGCGCATGCGGGGGGCTATTCAATTCATTACCAGTGTCCGTTTATATATAACTGTTCAATTTTCTTACTCTCTGTTACACATGTTTTAGCAACAATGTTGTGCATAAAAATTCTGTTTTCTTAATAAATTTCTTTAAATACAGAATAACCATAGGCATTCCATACTTTCTAATTCAAAAATAAAAATTGATGAAATTTTTGATACAGTATTTTGGTTCACAGGTAAATCTATGTTGGTTATCAATCTCATATATTTGATTTCGAATACGATTTCTTCCTGCTACCAGGTTTGGCTGGGCAAATTGGGCAGCTTGTTCTGTTTTATATAAACCGTAACATCTGTTTTTCTTTGTCCTTTTCTGGGTAACAGTGAGACCGAAGGTATTGCGGTTTCGTTTCTTTGTAGGCTAGAATTTAATGTTTCCCTCTTGAAGAGAGAGGGGGAGAGGTCTAAATTCCATGGATTCAAAATCTTTTCTCTAAATCCACTCACCCAACCAATAAATGTTGAAGCATTAGAATTTCAAAAAAAAAAAAGAAGATTTGAATATGTTCTTTATAATCCATTCTTAAATCCAAATCAATAGAATGGATTTACGAATACATATGTGATTCTCTAAAAGTATTCCCAATGGGGAATTATCGATGCAATCTCAGAAATTAAGAAATGCATAATGTTTGTCAAAAACACATAATATAAAAAAAATAAAAATAAAAAATCATCAAATGGGGCATTCATTTTCAAATATTCACCATAAAGAACCTAACTTTCTAGGCATGACCAGTTCCAAATTCCAATAGTCAAAGCAATGAAACATTATAACAATTTTTTCCATAATCGTGACTGATTAGCCAACATCTTATTTGAACAAGTAGATCATCTAACATGAATATTACAGTTCATATTATACGCTTAAAACCTGAGATAAAATAGCTATTATAATTAGCTCGGAAAATCAAAGAAGCGTGTAAGAAGCAACTTACCAGTATTAGGAGTCACCCAAGCACACCTCTTCTTGGCCACTGAACCTTCCATCACTGTACCCTCACTCTCAACCCCAAAAATTTTCTCAACTTTCTCACTTTTCGGGCTGCATTGCTGCTTCCTTCTAATTGGTGCAGTCGGGGTAATGCTCTGCCGGCTAAACCTCCCAGTGGAAGCCCGGCTGTGCGAAGAATCCGAGGAAGCATCAGAAGAACACGAAGCGTTCAGCGACAAATTTGGCTGCCGAGTCCCCAAAACGGAGGCTGCACTTTTATTTTTCCTCTTAAAACCCATGACTGGAGACGATTGCTCAGTTTCGGTAGCTGCTGGAGACATTTTCCCCTCGGGCTCGTCACTTTCTTGTGGTTTCACAACTTTCTCGAACTTGGGTTTTGAAATGGGCTTTCCCAAATCCATGGATCTAGCTTTATTTCCGGCTGGCCCGAGCACCGGCCTCGTTTCCGACTCAGTGAAATTCACCGATCTCACTCGTGGTGGTCCAGACATGAAATTAAACTAGTAAAAAATTAGGGTTTTTAGAAAAACTAGCGGATAAGTGAAAATTAAAGCGCACAACAGGTTCCAGTAATTATTCAGCTTTCAAGAAGGATGGTAATGAGGGTACATTGTGATATAGAGGGGGTGAGAACAGTTAGTAAAACCTATAGTTAGAGATTAAAATTGTGAGCGAATTCTTGTACTCTACCAGTCCCAGGAGTAGGCTAGCTGGTTGGAAAAAGTAGGCGGTGCTGATGGCGGAGCACGGCGTGTGGAATCTGAGGAAAAGGAACTACGACACCGAAATTGAGGATAATTTCTAGAGAGAGGAAGAGGAAGATGGCGGAGGAGAGAGAAGAGCAACAAACCACTGGCAAGTTGCCACATAAAGGACTAATTAGCTTTTATTGATTTTTGCAGAAGAATAATTAATCAAGGTTTACGATTTCTTTATCTGGTTTTATCTTTTATGGACACATACAACGTTGGATATTTATAATAAAATGATGGGGAAATTACAGCAGGTCTCTAATCTTTTCTAAATGTGCAAATAAGTCCTAAACATTTAAATTTTCTTAATGTCATTTCAAAACTTCGTATGAATGTGATTGAAGGAATTTTTGGACGATTGCAGTTTAAAATTCTGTTAGTTTCTCCAAGGACAAAAAGGTTTATTGACATTTTCTAACTTTGATTAAAATTTTATTAACCAAAAAAAAAAAAAGGAAAAGAATTTTTTAAAAAAGATTGACATCTTCTTCAGGGTGTTAAATAGGACGCGTTAAGTTGCTTTAATCGATTCGACTCAGTTCGCTCAAGAAAAATACAACTTGCTGAAACTATTTTACATTTGACCAAAATTTCATCTCTCTCAATTTGACGAGCTGGCTCGCACATGAGCCAACGAGCTTAGATGGTTCGTATGACCAAATAGCTGCTTGGCTTGCTCCAAGTGCAAACAACTCGTCCCACTTTATTATATATTTTCTCCAACTCCAACCACTCCCCAACTCATGTGCTCATGACGAACGACCACCACTTCATATGTAATCATGTTTCTTCTTGTCATGTGCACAATCTCCACCTCCCCCCACCCAATCTGTCATCGTGAAATCTCCCCATCATGGCGATGGCAAGTTGGGTTTGGAAATATGACGTCTTTCAATTTTTATTATATCTATTAATTCCTTTTTGTTTAGCCTTTGTTTGAGCTAAATTTTTTTACCAACCCCTTAGTTTATGTTTTTCTTTTCGTAAATTTCAGTCAATGGGAGAGACAATTTTGCCATTCTAAAAAGTGGGCTCGTTCAATTCACGTACTTGACTGATGGATTCTATCCAATCTTTGTGTCATAAGTTTTCAAACATTTGGGATTGGGATTGGGATGGCAATGCCAAAAATAAAAAGTTTAGTACCCATTTGTACTTTTTAAAAAAGGTCAGAGACCCCGCTGCAAATGTTTCTTAATGAAAAAGATGTATTACCAATCTCTCTCTTTCGTACTCGGATATCAAAGTTCAAACGTCTTTTTTATTGGTATTAAGCACCTCATTATTTTACCTTTAGGCATAAATGGTCCCTACTCATGGTGGCACCTCATTCTTCTACTTTCAAGCATCATTTTTCTTACTCTGGATGATCGGTACATGGGATGGAGGGTGTAGATGAAGATGAAGATTTTTTTATTCTTCTTTCTATTTATTTATTGAGCTTATAAGTAATTATGTCTTTTTTTACATAAGTCTTGACATGAATGTTAGTGCTACATCTATGTTCAAATTGAAATATTAGGAAGTCAGTCTCATTTCTATGAAACATCGATCATTACAATTACAATACCAGTTTCTAAACTTTTTAGTAATTTGTATCAACTTTATTGTACTGTCATTGTTTATGACATATAGTATAAAAATTGTTTAATATGACGTTATTCTTTACCACAGAATTATGCTATATCAAATTAATCTCTATTTAAGAGTAAAAAGATGACAAACAAGTAGCCCTGTTTGGCAGGGATTAAAATCAAATTTTTTTTTATTGATTTTGATAAAAATTAATAAAATGCTTGGTTGAAAATTGTGGATCGCATAAAATGTGCAATTAAAATTAATTTTATATTTTAACTTTGATTTAAATCTAGATTGAAATCTATACCAAACAATGGCTTATTACAACAACTTGAAAAGCAACGAGTTAAAGATACAAAAGTTTGACAAAAAATATTTCGGTATAACATTATCCCACGTTAATAGAATATTTGTCTAAAATCTATTATTATAGACAAGATATGCTAATTATTTGAAGATTAAAGATATGAATAGAGCGAAAAAAAAAAATAATGAACATAAGTCTCGAATGAGCAACATTTGAGGATTTTAATTGAAAATAAAAAATAATTACCTAATATTTAACTAGTTTGATTAACGTCCAAATTGATATTCTAAGTTCATAATCAAAATGGATTGACCTAAAACTTCACTTTCAAAAGTTGAGGGCTCGAAATTATACCACATGAAAGTCGGTCCGGCCAATTACCCTAAAAAAATTATTCGTCCATTACAAACCTAATTTTTGGGGTTTTGGGTCTCCTTTGAACCAATGCTCGAGAGTGCAAATCAGTGCTGGAAGAGAGTGAGAAAATACACAAAAAATGGTGAGACTAACGGCTGATTTAATTTGGAAAAGTCCTCACTTTTTCAACGCCATTCGTGAACGTGAATTGGATCTCCGAGGTACCCTTTTACTGAACCCTATTATCCTCCATCTCTCTCTCTATATAAAGAAATTCGTTTTGTATACGTGCAACCCCACTATTTGATGTGAATGTTTTTTTTGTTGTTGTTGTTGTAAAATAGGTAATAAAATTGCAGTGATAGAGAATGTGGGTGCTACTGAGGTCAGTTTCTAATTTTCTTTGGATAGATTTCATTTACGATTATTTCTTTTCTTTTCTTTTTTCGTGATTTGGAAAGGTAAAGTTCATTTTTGTATACGTGTTTTCTGAAGCTTGTTTTCCTTCTATACTTTTTTCACCTAATACTTGTTGAATTATTTATGAATTACAGGATCAATTTGACACCATTGATTTATCTGACAACGAAATTGTTAAGCTTGAAAACTTTCCCTACCTAAATCGACTAGGGACATTGCTATTAAACAACAATAGGATTACCCGTATCAATCCCAACCTAGGAGGTGAGAATTTAATCACCCTATATATTGCCATTTTCATAATGAGTATTAGTTAACAGTTTTTTGTTTTTTTTGTTTTAATTATTGCAGAGTTTTTGCCGAACATTTACAACACTAAATTATGCCTTATTGGTTCTTTTCATATATTATACATATATAAACTTAACAGGTGTTCAATGGAATTAGCAGGCAACACAAAATTTGTTTTTTACCCTTTAATTATCAGTCAACCCCATCAAATTTCTTGTTTTAGCTGTAAATTGGAAGTTTCTTTACCTATTTGTTTGATGATTCTTTCGTTCTTCTTTTAGTTTTTGCCTCTATACAATGTGAATAGTGCAATATTCAGCTATCCTACATTTGTGTACTGGGTTTAATGGACAATTTTATGTCCATAAGAACTTAAAAAGTGTAAATTGTAATAACAATGAAAGGGTGATGATATTAATTTGCTCATTTTTGAAGTTTAATGATTAACTTGCAAGACAATAAATAAAATGGAGACTAATAGAATGATTTTTCATGGGGGCAGGATCCAAAATCTGCATAATTCATAGTATTTACTTGATTGTTTGGAACATTTTTTGCATTGTTATTTGATTATAAAAATAATTTTTAAAATGAGCTTGTTTGAGCCCTAATTTTGGTGTACAATACATTTTGGAATAGTAGATTCATGGGGAATGTATGGTTTAAAAATAAGAAAATGTTTTTGTTTTACAATTAATTATTAAGTTAACAAATTCACTGTTAGTACCATAATACACAAATTTTGAATGCATAAATACAATTTTTTTTACTTCAGGGGACCTACTTAATGAAGTTCGTCTCAGGCCCCCCAAAATCACAGGACGGGCACTGACCACACATGTAGATCTTGCATAAAAAACATAATACGTGGGGAGTACACTGGATTTGCACTGTAATATGGCACTTTTCTAATCTATCTGTTATATAATTCTTGTTGCAACTAATGGGCCCCACGCCCTCAAGAAGATAATAAACCCCTGTTGAATGTGTATTGGACTCTGAAGTTGTATGAGAACTCGCATGTCTTTGATAATGTTGTACTTAATTAATAAACAGAGATATTGGCACTAGATAGACCCTTAATCACCTGTTTGATATTTGTTAATTGTCCCATACTCAACCCATGATCATATTAATACTGAAAATTTTTGTTATTTTAAAAATTTGTTTGATATTACAATAATATTTTAAGAACTTGTATATCTTACAATAATGTTAAAAATTCTTGATCCATGGGTAATTGTGATGCGTGCACTTTCCTGTTTGTGATAAATTTCTGTTGTTTCATATCAAGTAGAATTTTAGCTTGCCACTAACCTATTTTTACTTCACAGCATTAGTGTACTTTCGTGTTCGTTGACTACTACTATATTTATTGGATGATCGCCTTTCAACTAATTAAAATATGATTGTTCTACTCTACTGAATTCTATTTTTATATGATGATAGGAGCGAATGGAAGCCAATAATTTATTTGCATCAAAAGAGGCCGAAGAAGAAGCTAAAAAAGAATCAGTGAAGACATTTGTACCTGGTGAGCTTCCAAGCAGTGAAGAGTTACCAAAGGAGGAGCAAACGCCCAAACCGGTTGCTCCCACACCTGAGCAAATTATAGCTATTAAGGTACATTCTAGTTTTTCTTTGTTTTAATTCTTCTCCCCTTGCAATCTGAGTGCTTCTTTGATAAAATTCTATAAAACTTTGCTAAAATTTGATCAATTTTTCAATTGGTCAAACTTTAATTTTAACCTCGCATTTCATGAAACCCACTACTTTATCAACTTTTCAATCACACGTGTCATCAGCTTATATCAAAATCTGTTAAAAACTTTTACCGAAAGTTTTGTCAAATAACTCCTGAAAAAATTAATGATCAGCCACTGCCAATAATAATTTTTGAGAAGATTTGAGTAATGAAAATTGGGAGAAAAGTAGAGAAGGTTCAGTTGCTCTTGTTTGTCGAAGGGAGGACAATGAGATGAGAAAAAAGTTTTAAGAAATGGAATATGAAACTCAACTGAATTTAAAAAAAAAAAAAAAAAATAATAGTGTGTGTATTCTTCCTTTCTTGCCTCAATGCATGCAGCACATTTTTAACTTTCTGATAATAACTCTGCAGAATCCTGAAAAAATTAATGATCAGCCACTGCCAATAATAACTTTTGAGAAGATTTGAGTAATGAAAATTGGGAGAAAAGGAGAGAAGGTTCAGTTGCTATTGTTTGTCGAAGGGAGGACAATGAGATGAGAAAAAAGTTTAAGAAATGGAATATGAAACTCAACTGAAAAAATAAAAAAAAATAAAAAAAATTCAACTGAATAAGATAAAAAGGTTCGTTACCTTCCATGTGATTCTAGAAAGTGAAATCTACTCTCATCTCTCACAAAAACTGTCAATAATCTAATTTTTTTCTTCTGTTTTGTATCGTGCTTATATCTTTATTTGAATTGCAATAGTGTGTGCATTCTTCCTTTCTTGCCTCAATGCATGTAGCACATTTTTAACTTTCTGATAATAACTCTGCAGGCTGCCATCGTGAATTCTCAGACTCTTGAAGAGGTGGCCAGGCTTGAAGAGGTAATCTCATTTGTCAATGCCACTGAATAATTAATAAATTTCAGCTTAAATTTATTTTTCCTTTGCTGCTTTACCGTGAGTTGTCTATTTACTCATTTCTAGGCTTTTGTTCTTATTTCAAGCTTCTGCTCAGACCAGATTGATTCCATTATTTATTTGAATTTCTGTAGGCACTAAGGTCAGGCCTGCTTCCGGCTGATCTAAATATTGATGGTGATACCATGGCTAAAAATGGAAGTGTCCAAGATGACACAATGATTACTGATGCTGAAAAGGAAGCAAATGACGAACCAAGCGACAAAGAACCCAAACAGAAAGATGATGGTCCTGCAGAAATGGAACAGGTAGTAGTGAGTCTCGATGCTTGCAGTTTCTCGTGACCTTTGCTTGTATACAAGATAGTGCCAATCAATAACCATGTTTATAAGTGGTGATTTTGTTAAAGGAATCATAAATAAGTGCCACCATATGTACAACGATTTACAGATAATACAGCATGAGAAAACAATACGTGAATTTAGATGTTTTTATTGATGCTCTAGCTTGTCCTTTTGGCCTACTTATTCATCATCATTATATATTTCCCGGAAAGTAGTGGTCTTATATTTTTACTGCTTGGGACGGGTGTAAATTCAATAACCAGAGCCCCGTGGTTGCCCTGGCCTCAAAACATGATACCAGAGCAAATAAATTGTTGAATTGCATTGTACCAGTTTCTGTACTCGGTTCTTGAGTCCTTGAGTTAATGAGTTATTGCTCTCTTCAACTCCCAGTTCTTTCTCTTCTTGCTTCTTCCGAAGGAAGCTAACGTCCATGTTATACTCTACTTGATAGATTGCCAGTCTACCTTGTCCGCTAGCTCGTTTATGGTCCTAATAGTTTTTCTTGTACGCTTCTTTAATTCATTTCAGGAATAGCGTGGAGCGTGTCAATGTGCAACGATTATAAAAAATGCACTGTGGATTGAGGTTGATAATGCTAGATCATCACTCCCTTTTTTTTGCAGAAATTCGCATGTGGTATTTCTGGTGTAACATTAAATTTGATTCATACGAAGTTTTGTTCACTGAAATTGGTGGATGGCTACAGAGAGGGTCAAAACTATTGCTTGTTAGAACTTATGTTGTTTGGAGGAGAAAATATTCAAGCAAAATTGTGTATCGACTTGGTGGGTGGCTACCAACCCAAATCCGTTAGTATGGACCATTTTCTTACACGACCCTAATTCTACAGGATCCAATCTATGGAGCAATTTTTTAGTGCATATTGTTCTCCATCCTTCCTCATATGATAGAAAGTGATTTTACGATTCTCCAAATTTGAGGTAATTACATTACATTTATGACCAGAAGAGTCGTTTGTAAGTAGTGTTTGATTGATAACGTTTAATCAATACTCGATTATTAGAGAGGTTAGTTTTTGTCCACACGGTTTTTCTATGCCTTGACTATCGACCATTTCACTAGCTTTTGTTAAAATGGCCATTTAAATTATGCTTTTGAATAATGTTTATTTTGAAATATTTACCGAATTATTTCTGACTATTAGAAAAAGCTTGAACTTTTTTGCAGTTATAAATAAATATAAAACAGAATAGTACTCAAATTATTCGTTAAATTTTTTGCGCTTGACGAAAGTGTCTAACTGTAAGTCGTAATACTGACTAGAAAAATAAAATTAATTTTATAATGTTAACACTTAGCTCTCGTTTGGTCCTCATTACATCTTATCAAATTAAATTAAAATTTTTAATCACACAATTTTCAATAGAATAATATTATACATAAATTGAAAATTTTTCATTTTTTTACAAACATCTATTTTTCAAATATGACTACTCTCTCATTATAATCAAAATTAATGGGGGCCAAATGGGAGCTTAATAAGACAGCTTCAAAAAATATAAAATAATAATAATAATAATAATAAAGAAAAAACAAACCCTTAATAATAAGACCAAAGCGTAAGTCAAGTCACTTGGCTAATAGTCTTGTTTTACTTTCGTCTATTTTTCAAAAAGCATTTACAACAACAATCTTAAGTGACATTGATGTAGGATTAAATATAATTAATTAAATGAATTAATTAGCCTATCTTTTGATTCAACATAGGGAAAATTTCATAACTAAGAAATTAATTATGGCACATTTCAAAAACAAGAAAACGAGTTTCGAATTTCTAAAATCAGATTTTTATTAAAAATTATTTATAATTTAATTAGTTAATTAATTATTTTATTAATTAAATATATTTAGGTCACATATCTATACAATTTGGTCACAAATTAACAATACAATTAGTTATTTATTATTTTTTGGTACAAATCAAATTTTTATGTCACAAATTTTTTTACGATCACAATTCAAAAATTTTGTAAGTCATAGTTTGTTTATTGGTCACAAATCCAAAAATAATTAGTCATGGATTAATTTTTAGTCACGACTTATCATATTATTGGTCACAACTTATTTTTCGATTACAAACAAATTTTATAGGTCACATTATTTTTCGATCACGAATAAAAATTTTTATAGGTCACAGATTAATTTTTCGGTCACAACTCAATAAATTATAAGTCACAAACACAAATTTTATAAGTCACATATTATTTTTCGATCACGAATCAAAAATTTTATTGGTCACAAATTAATTTTTGGGTAACAACTTAATAAATTATAAGTCATAAATACAAATTTTATAGGTCACATATTATATTTCGATCACGAATAAAAATTTTTATAGGTTACAGTTTATTCATCGATCACAAATCAAAAAATTAATTAGTCACGGATTAATTTCTAGTCACAACTTATCAATTTATTAGTCACAACTTATTTTTCGATCACAAATTAAAAATTTTATAGGTCACATAAAATTTATAAAATTTTTTATAGGTCACAAATTATTCATTAGTCACAAAATCAAAACTTTTATTGGTCACAACTCATATATTCATTTCAAATTATTAGATTAATTGGTCATAATTAATTTTTAGTCACAACTTATCAATTTATTGGTCACAACTTTTTTTCAACCAAAAATAAAAAATTTCATAAGTCACATATTATTTTTGGGTCACGAGTAAATTTTTTTATAGATCACAGATTATTTATTGGTCACGAAATCAACTTTTATTGGTCACAGCTCATTTATTCATTGTAAATTATCAAATTAATTGGTCACGGTTAATTTCATCGGTCACAAACCAATTCACTACCGCACACTACCCTAACCCCATCCCACCACCACCACGCCGCCGCGCCTTACCGAACCCCAATCCACTACAACCACCACCTCTGCTGTCAATACACACCACACCTTACATCACCGCCACACCATCACCCTCTGCGCCATCGCCACCACCTACAGAATCACTGCCTCCCCGTGACATCAGCAGCTGCCTATCTGAAAATGTCACCACAACCATCACACAATACCACTGTCAGTTTCCATTACAACGCACTACCATAAAATAAATAATTTGTGACCACCACCACTACCGTGACCACCACCTCACTAGTCTCCAGTATCACCACACCAACACCACCGCTGCCAAAACCACTACCATCTCACGATAACAACATTGTCATCTCCATTTCAAACAAACCACCACTACTTTACCCACCACCCCCACCTTTCATCACCACAACCACCATTTTCAACAAAACCACACTGCAACCACCAAATCCTACAAAATCGCTACCACCACAACGACTATCACATCAAACATCACCCCCACGGCGACACAACCCAAACACCAACAACAAAATAGATCCAAAAGTACCACCACGACAACCACCATCGCATCACCACCAGCAACACTACCTTACCATGACAGAAACCTACCCCAAATTCACTGAACTAGATCCAAAATAGGAGACCATCACCTTACCACCACCCCCGATCCACTAACTCAGGTGTCGATTACGAAGAGAGGAGTTCATTCACCAATCGTAGATTTTGCTTCGCAACTATTGCTTCTACGTTGCTAGTCTCTGGCGATTAGATCTTAAAATGGATAGTAGGCGGGTGGCGACGGCACCACACAAAACACCACTTCGCTCGCCGATCGTAGATCTCTTTCGCAGTTGCTGCTCCTATGCTGCTAGTCGTTGGAGATTACTGCTAAAATGAATAGGCAACGGGGCGAGAGTCGAGAGAGAGAGAGGCGATAATAGGCGAGGGAATTGAGAGAGAGAAAAGGATTTGGGATTGATATAATTAGGTTACATAATTAATTTTTAAATATATTAATTAATTAAAAAAAATTCTGATTTGTGAAATATTAAACATTTCATCTTATTTATGAAATGGGGATTTTTAATCTATTAGAATATGTAATTTCCACTTCAACATATCACTGATGCTCTAGCACCATTGATGTTAAACCCCCATTTGACAGTGATTATAATTAAGGGTCTATTTGTGCCTCTTTAATTTCAAAAGGTGTATTATGGAATAATGATTGATGTTGAAATGTGTGGTTAGAAAAGAATAATTTTTTTTATTTATGTATAATATTATTTTAATAAAAATTTGTAATTGAAAATGAGTATCGTAGAAAAAATAATGCGTTAGAATTGTTGACAAACAAATCCTAAAATTTTATTTTAAGTCAAAGTTAACAATTAATTTTAACTACATATTTCATAAGTTCCACAACTTTTCAAACACATATTTTTACTAAAAAATTAATTTTAATTCCCATAAAGTGCTAATAGCATTATTTAAAACTTCAACTACACCTACGTTCTTGACTCCAATTGTTTGCATTTTAGTCCTCACACTTTTAATGATTCCCATCTCTTCGTTTTTGTGGATCTGTCTGCTTCTTTTCTGTAGCAGTTATTAGTAAAAAATCACATTAAAAGAAACAAGATAAACAAGCCCATTTGAGAAAGATAAAGTCCTTGTTTGAGCCACATTTTTTTCATGAAAATATATTCTTTAACAGTAATTTGACTTCATTTCAATCACACATTTTCAATAAAATAATATTACACGTAAACCCAAAACTTTTCCTTAATTTTTAACCACACATTTTCTATCAGAACATTATTTCAAAATGTATTTTTTGAAAATAATGGAGCTCAAACAACTCCTTTAGTGGGTGTTAATGAATTAGTCTGGAAGACTGAAACTGCTGAACTGTGTTGAGTTTAATTATTGATTATTTGTATTAGAAGATTGATCCGTTTATAGTTTAAACTTCCTAAGGGAATCAGAGATAGTTTAATTTTTTTTTTGTTGGTTTTTGAACTCTTTAATTTGCTTTTGCATTATCTACTATTCGAATGTTGGATTTGATAATTGAAATAAATGCCTAATATTTGACTTTTTTACTATAACTGTATAAGTTTAATTCCCTTTCCTGTTCAAGATTTGATTTTTAGCTAACTAATCAATGGATCATGCGTTTGTTATCAGTTATTCACTGTAACTTTTATTTTACAACTTTTTTTGTACATAAAAATGATCTATTTCGACACATTGACTACCGGCTTTATTGGGATTGCAGCTTATCCAAAGGGTGATTTCGAGCATTATTCCCAATAAAATTTCTCTAGCTGTAACTTGACCTATGGACTGGCTAATTTTTCATTGAGCATTATTCAATTATGTTCATCTTGCTAATTCTTACGAACACCCTAAACATTGTCATGTGCATAATTTTTCTGCCTCTTAATTAAGATGAAGTGCACAACTCAAGGCATTTGATTCGTTTAGTTGTATCATTAAAAGTGCTTTATTTGATTTTCACTGTGTTAATCGTACTTATTTCCCGTGCATCAGGTCGTCATTATCAACATGTCTTAATATACCAAAGGCATTTGATTCGTTTAGTTGTATTGTTAAAAGTGCTTTTACTTGATTTTCATTTTGGCTTAATCATACTCATTTCCTGTGCATCAGATCCTCATTTTTAACGAGTCTGAATATACCAAAAGTGTCTCCAACCACAGCTATGGAGGTATCAAATTCTGTTTGTGTAATGTATAGGACTGTTTTTAGCATATATTCTCGTTGATTGTTGGAATGCACCAAGCAGGGTGAAAGCTCTCAAGAAACTGGCACAGATCCTACTCCTGTAGTTATAGTAGATCAAGATTCAGACCCCGATGCCACTGTTGTGGAAATTACCTTTGGTGACCGCCTTGGCACCCTTCTCGACACTGTACGACATTATTATTTTTTGAAATGCTCAATCTATTGGCTAGATTTCTGAGTTTGGATCTGTTGTATTTCATTGCCTAATCTCATCATTTGTAGAACTACGTGGCATCAATTCTATCCTTTTCAGCTTATTTAGATTTAGATGTATTTTGGAATTTATTAACTTAAAGCTTTGTGTAATTTATTTCTCCCTAGTCCCCGAAAATTTCTGCCAATAGTATTTAAATTATCCAA